GTTGATAGTTAAGAAAAAATTACTTACCGTCATCTCGATTATAAGACAAAGCTGTACCATACACCATTTTCAGTTTGGAGAACAGAACAAATAGACTCTTCAATATAAAAGTAAAGAAAACTTTCGCCGGATCAAATGTCTGAAATTAGAGAAAATCCAACAGTCAAAATCAATAAATTGAACACCCCTTCCTACATTCACTTACCCCAATTTTGTTTGCGCTCCCACTGAAATGGAATTTGCTGTTGGAACAAGCTCCTTGATAATCATAAACTGGAACTTTTACATAAATTCTGTCCTGTACAAGCGAATCCATGATAGTACCGTCGATTTGTCCGAAAAATCGACCAGTATGTTCCGCATTTTCAGATATTATTATAAAACCATTATTATCCAAGACGTAACAATCCAGTTTCTCGCTGGCGCAGGTTTTTTTGCAAGTAGAAGAACCCGTACACTAAAAAAAAGAACTCGTTTCAATGAATCATCAGGAGGTGACTAATTAAACTCATATCTCTATAAATTTTATTACTCTCAAAATTTTCTATTCCTCTCCATCAGAATATTCTCGAAAAGATGCAGGTGAGATTTGTTCAGTTCGGAAGTAAAATAATGAAATATTTTCAAAGTTTAACTGAAGTACTGTATTTTGAATTTACGAATAAATTTGTGAAATTTCCTCAAGCATACTAGGCATGTGCCTAGGGGCGCGAGGCTATGATGGGGCGCGTGCTATCGTTTGAAGTAAGTAGTCATTAAAAATTGTGTGCTAGAGAATAGCCTGTGAGGTGCTTGCCTAAGGCGCTCTCCACGTTCAATCCGTCTCTCACTAAGAGTATGAATTGTTGGTGGTGTACATGTAGTGTAAACTCACCATTAGATTTAGAATGTAAAACTGTGTTGTAGGTGTACGACCATAAGAAATCTGTTTAAAATCTGTTTTTCCGTTAACCAGCTGTCGCACCCCTACGAAAGACAACCCTCAGAAGTCGAAACTTGTGCGAGCTAAGGATTAACGAGGTCTTAACTTTTAACGACCATAAGAAATCATGTATGAACTGAATGAGTGAACCTCAAAGCTCTTATGATATAAAATATAGTGTTAAATAAAGCATAGAGAATAATCTGAATAGAATAACCTGGGATAGAAAAAAGTATGAGTGTAGGATAGGCCAGAAAGTTGCCACGTGTTTGCACAAGTTTTAAAGCACAAGTATGAAATATGAACCCGAAGGGGGAGCCAGTCAAATTGCTGCCAGATTTCAACATTCAAAGGCAAAACGCCTCTGCTGAATAGAAATTCTGGAAGACTTGTTTTCAGGATTATCTGGTTGCCACTGATCAGAATCAATATACTGATGAGGTAAAGCTATCCATTTGACCTTAGAGCCAAAAATCCAAACACATATTTATCATGAACTTATATCACAAAAAAATTGTTGTAGCTAATTATGATAGGTTAGTCCGAAGAAACCCTCAAATATTCATAAAACTGGATGATGTAGTAATTAGGAGTAACAATGAAACTACTACTTGGTCTACAGCGGTCGTGATGGAGCAAGCTTCTGAACAAAGATCATACTTGGTGAAGAAATTATCTTCAAAATGTCCTTCTCAAATGAAATTGCCAAAAACAAATTCTGATTATGAATTCATTTGTGAATCAGAAATAACTCATGACAATATTTGTACTGATCAAGATAATGAGAACATTGGTAGGAATCACACGTTATAAGGTAAGACCTCATTAGTCCTTAGCTCGCACAATTTTCTACTTTTGAGAGTGGTCGTTCGTAGGGGTGCGACAGCTGATTAACGGAAAAACAAATTTTGAACTTTTTTTTAAACCAAGATATCCATCAAAATTATTTTCATAGCTCTCCAAGCAATGGTTCATGTGGTTCAAGCAGTCATAAGTCATGTAGTGCAGTGAATGCGTCTAACGAAAACTATTCCTGCCTATTTCAAACTAGAAATCGCCCCCATTACGGCCGAATAGTTAGACCACCGCGTCATTACGATTTTCACACTTCTCATGAATCTAACGGATAAGTTTTTTTGCAAATATCGTACCGAATAAAAAAAAATATGTCAGAGACGAAAATGATCTAGAAATGCGAATTCTGTTTTCAGACAATGACATCAGTGGAGCCAGCACATGAGTGAACTAGTATTCTTGAGACGATATGCGGCCTGTTCGCATATATACATTCAACTTCACAAAAGTTTCACGAAAGATATTTCAGCTTGATGCGGTCACCTAGTACACGGTGGTTTCCGTCAAAGACACTATATGAGCTGCTTGACGAAGTATTTTCAAAAAACATTACAGCCCAGCCTTGTTCACTCAATGTTTAACTTTGGCGTATTTCCAGTAAGACGGTGTTTTCTATGAACAAGCGGACTGCACCATAATGGAAAGCCGTTGAGTGCTGTGGTGGAAAACTTTTTTCATGAAAGGTACACTGTCTTTACCAAATCACCCAAATGAACGCTGGAAGCCTGTAGCCTGAAGTCAAGTTGAATTAATTCATGTACATTTTGCAACCACAAACTACGTCTATCAGTTTCTGCCACCAACAAAGTGCCGAGACAAGTTCTGCACATAAAATATCTTCAATGTCTGTGCTGTACAAGCTTATGTTTTACTAACTAAATAAAGTTGACAGAGTTTTTTTTGTGAGAATGAAATAAATGGAGGCGCCAAGACCTATTGAGGAAGTGCTTAACAAAGTAACGTTATTGAACTAGAGCTACCCCGATCATCACAATTGGATTATATTGACGAAACTTCCGAATGAAGGAGTAGTTGACAAAAAGATACTGAGCTTTGAGGCTCACATGTGCCTTCCATTTCAGCAAAGCGCTAATCTAGACCGTGAAGCCATATTCGATACATTCGTGATATGGAAGTGTGGTGGTAGTGTGTGCATATCCAAACGACTCGATTTAAAAATTCGATTCACAAGAAACGGAAATTTTATGGAACAGCCTTCTTGGATTGCTTATATTGTAAAGGCGTGAATGTGGCTCCAACCCCTTAGCAAAAAGGGTCAGACGTTGTCAAGACTTCGAGATACCCTCAACCACGGCCTAGCAGACCGGTTTATTTCATTTTTAATCGTGATTTTGGTCGTAAAAAGCCTAGGTTTTTAAATAAAGTAAATTGCCTCATGGGGCATACAGACGCGTCAGTTCTTCACTCAAAGAAGCCATTAACGTTGTCGTGTTCGAACAGAACTCAAAAGGTTGATAGAATTCAGAGCTACTTTTCAAGATAGAAATTCATCCCTCTGAGAATAACTTTGTCGACATTTCGTTGAGATTTATCAGACAGTAGAAAACAACTCATTAGCCTTTTCATTTGAATGACCCGAGAATTTCCTTGTTTCAGGACGCAGCACTTTGCTTAAGATCTTCCCTTGAAGGCGACGACAGCATACAGACAAAATTATAATGAAACTATAGGAGAACTGAATTTATATTGAGAAATCAGATACTACAGTTCAACAAGATGACATTGAAATGTGCGCAGACGAATGCACAAAAAGACGAAGAATAGGAAGTTGAAAGTTGGGCAACTCTTAATGCAAATAAATTTAATTTTATTGCCAATGTATGGAGCGAACTGTGCGGAAGTAATATTAAAACTATTCAGTGGTAATATCAATGCTAATGATGATTCAGGCTGCATCTATCTATCTCAGTGACCTTCAGTAAACTGTCGATTCAAATCCCATATCTGTCATATTCGTAAAATATCATTCATTTACTCAAAGGAAATATATGCAAATAGACATATTCCTAACTCAGAAAATGAAATCAATTATCTGTAATTCATTGGTGCTATAACTCCGTTCAATTATTGTGACTCCATATATGGTCCATGTTTAGATGCCCATCGTATACAAGTAATGCAAAATTCGTGTTTGTGACTCATATATGGGATAAGATGGCGACAAAATATATCTCACAAACTGAATGAGCATAAATGGCTGAATATGGCAAGGAGAAGATTATTTCATTAATTTTGTCTGTTTCACAAAATTATCAGCTCAAAAAGCACACCTTATCTTTCGAACAAAATTTATTTCAGAGATGATTTCCATAATGTAAACGTTCGTTTTAAAGGAACTATTAGACCTCCAATTTATAGAACAAGCACATATGAAATATCCTTTTCTTATCAAGTGTCAAAGGTTAATAATTCAATTCCCCAAAATTTAATGATTATGAGTGAACTAGTTAAAAAAAAGAAAACTCATCTTCTTGATAAACAATCAAGAATAATAATAAATTAGACTGATGAACTGTGCTGTTCTCGAAAAATTGTATATATGTTGGTGAGGAGATGTTAGTAGATATACATAGATATACGTATTTGTCAAATAAAAAAATATATTTTTTTCTTCCCTTATTTTTTTCTATTATTTTTACTCGGTTCGGTTCACTATCATACCACCTTACGCTTAAGAATAATAACAGAGGTCTGTCTATCACCAGATACACAGACCACCTGATCTTCGGCGTTTCCCAATGTATTGATATTCTTTTCAATTTTTTTTTATTTGATTTATATGTATAAGCTATGGGAAATAAAAACCTATATAATTATTATTTTTTGAAACAGTAGTTTGCGCTGGTCAGGCCCTATCCTCCGAAGCCCCAATACATTCGGGAGGGCGCACCAGCATTATTAACCAACGACCACTCCCCACACCGTGGGTTAAGTGATCAAAGGGTCCGAGAATCATGTGCCCTGAGCAAGTGCAATGAGCCAAGAATGACCACCTCGTTCAGTGTCAAAACTAAACCGAGTTCATCAGCTGCTCGGGCAGTTGCCCTAAAGAGAAATGCTCCAATTCCTGCTCTCTCATGGTCACGGACCACGCAGAGAAGGGGATCCGAACTCCAGACGACTTTACAGGCTGTATCCAGTACCATTCTGTCATATAGACAGTCCAAACTCAAAAGTCCACAACTGTGGAACGGGCGATTTGGGATGCAAACTCCTATAGAAATGCATCATTTTTCGGGTCTTTACGTTGAGTTGATACAGCTCCTCCCGAGTCCACTTCACTACTTCAAACGAGTAGAGTAAGATTGGAACGGCAAGCATATTTGTTGCAGCAACTTTGTTCTTCCCCGACAGTTCTGATGACCAGATCTGTCGAAGTTTGTGCTGATACTTGCCGCGAAGAGAGTTTTTCACTGCTGTTACCTCTGGTGAGTGAAATGCAGAAGAGAAGGAAACTGAGGGAATCACTCTGAAAAACACCCCTTCTGAAAGTGACCCACCCTGTTTGGACTCTTGCTTGACCAGATGTTATGGTGAAGCGGGTTTGCCAAAGTGGTATCAGTTGTTCAATGCATCTCACTATTTTGTCGGGTACCGCAAGGCATCTGAGCAAATGCAAGATGAGCTCAGCGAAATTGTATCAAATGCCTTACGGTAAT